ACACACACATATATATATATACTTATAACTGTAGGACACAGAGTACAGTCTGACAGATCAAACCATATCTGTGCAAAATAATTAATTTTTTCAATATTTAACAAAGAATCCAAATAGAAAAAGATACAGATCACTAAAGAAGATGAAGAAGACAGAGATGATATGGAAGGAAAGTTAAAGATAAGAAGACGCTGGCTGACAGAGTTGTCACAGTTTCTTTTTTGGGCAAAGACAAAAATCTGTGGAAGCTGCACTTCCTCCATTTTACCAAAAGAGGGCAATATCAGCACCTGAGACAGCAGAGCACACATGTGCAGCCTCCAATAGATTTACTTTCACTTTTCTCTACTCCAAAACTCACAATCTGAAGAAAAACAAATCTACATCTGCTTCCACCATCAGGTCTGATAATTTGAAACTGGGTTTTAGGTTTGAGGTTAGGATTATGTTTAGGATAAGGTCCGCATACGGGGCTGGGGAATTCATGTAGTCCCATCAGGGACTGTGAGATGAAACAAAAAGGGAAAAAAAGGTTGAATTCAGTGATGCTGATAATGAAGCTAGCCCAGTTTCACACACACGACAAATGCATACATTCTGTGACCTATATACTGTATTTGGAAACTTTTTTTTTTCTTTTTAAGTAGGGCAGCAACATTTTCTTCCCTATCACACATGCAAATCATTTTCTCAATTAACTGTCAGAAAATATAGAAAAATGCCCGTCACATTTTCCTAAAGCCAACAGTGAGCTCATCAAATTGCTTGTTTTCTCTGATCTAAAGATATTCAGTTCAGAGCTGTAACAAATTTTTATTTTCATTGTCCAATAATCTGTTGATCACTTTCTCGATTTGTCGACCAGTTGTTCGGTCTATAAATCATCAGAATATGGTCAGAAAAATGTTGATCACTGTTTCCTAAAGCTCATGGTGGTGTCTTTAAATGTCTTGTTTTGTCCACAACCCCAAATATATTCAGTTTACTGTCACAGAGGAATAAAGAAACCAAAAAATATTCTCATTTAAGAGGCTGAAATCAGAGAATTTGGACATTTGTTCTTAAAAAATGACCAAAACACACACAGAGTAAAAGTAGTTGTCAACCAGCAGGTAGAAACAAACTGAATGTGTCTGCCAGTTTCAGAAAGAGTCACACTGATCTGATCTGAAACTGAAACTCAACCAGCGTGGCGGAGGCTGTTAGAAGGCAAAGACACTTTTTTCTTGCCAGAGACAGTAAAAGAGGAATGAAGCCCAAAAGAAGAGGAAGAGAGACAAAGCGAGAGAAAGGGAGAGGGCAGAGAGTGTTAGGCAACAGATGACACAAGTTATGAAAGAGAGAATACACTGTGTGGGGAGGGTGGTGTAAGTAAGTAAGTAAGTAAGTAAAACTTTATTTATAGCACCTTTTTGATACAGAGATCCAA